CAAACAAGTGAAAAAATCACCAATGATATATTAAGTGATGCAATACAAAAGGTTAATGACTTAATGCAATAAAAACGTAAATATTAATTAGAAACATTTACGTAAACGGCTAATAGTTTTGCATCACTTATTTATAACTGATGTAATTATAAAATCAACTAAATAAATGATATGATATTTCAGTATCACTTGTTATAACTGAAACAAATATTTGACATCATTTATACAAACTGATGTGAGTTTTAACATCATTTTTAATAGGCGACACATATTAACATTAATTATAATAAATGATAAAAATTTTGCGTCGGTCTTTTTTATTGATACAAAATATTAGAGTCACCATTTTTAGAATCACTCAAGAAAATGATATAATTTTAGTTTTGTCAATCAAAAAATGATATAAACTAATAAAATAAATGACATAATACACACTTTATTTTGTTTTGTAGTGAACATTTATTTATAACTTTGGACATCAGTAACCGTTTGGGTAACGGACACCGTAATTATTGTCAAACGATAATTTTACATCATGACCAACCGACCAACCATGCATCATATACATTTTATTTTATTCATATTACGAATTTACGACACAGTCTGGCAGTAGTCGTGGTTCATATACAAGTCTAGCCGGCGGTAGGAACTTTGACGACGATACGGTTTCTATCGACCCAAACCCAGACCCGGTCGCACCTGAAGTCTTTTGTTACCGGAGTTCCCTCCAAAATCACGATAGCATCGACTTTCGAGTTCTCTCTCTCTATCAACGAAGCCGCATAGTCTCCATTAGTTCTGACAAGCTCCGGCCATGAGTTCTTTTCTGCACGTAGTCAAAGCAACTACATTAGATCGATTAGTCATTTACATTTGACATTTTAGAGATCAATAAGGCCACATCACTCGATTTATGCAGAATAAAAATAATATATCCCTACTATCCTAGCTCATATTTTGGTAAATGTAAATCTTTTGAATTTTTAATTGAAACATCAACATGACTTTCACAAAAAAAAAAAAAAAATATCACCATGGCTCGAGTCCTTGACTATTAACCGACGTCAATAGAAGATACTTCAAAATTATAGTCAATAAGTGAATTGACTTCATATTTAAATAACTTTACGAGTTGTACAAGAAAATTTTGTTGGGAATATATTTAACTTTTTTAGCAAAAAAAAA